AAATTCAGATATTGTATGTCAGTGCCACCAAGTGGTTAATTGAAATAATAAGCAACGCAGTTCAGAACTGAGATTGAAATATTCTCCTTAAAACTGAAAATACTGATAGGACCACCTTCTGCCTTCAGAGGAAATCCATCAACGTACATCTGAAGGCAGAATATGGCCACAGACTGCATGAGTACCCTGAGTTTGGAGACTCTCTATCATAAGAGGGTGAGTTCAGAATAATCTCCGCATAAGATCTGAATTTATTTGTAGTATTCTTATTTGTTTGTTCAAAACACAGAAGAGGAGGTAGTCCCTGCTACAAGGGCCATGTGATCTAAGTGGATAGACAAATAAACCCAGAGCATGGTCCTGTTGTATAGGTTATTATGGGTTTTAAATATAATTTTATGATCAGTGCATGACACGTTTCTTTCTTAGTTAACTTAGGTTTGATCCTTGGAAGAAGGGGTTTGAAAGAAGAGAGGGTGATTGCTTTGTGCATGAGGCCATAGGTGAGAGAGAGGTGCAGAAATAAGGAATACCATAGAAAAAATAGGAGAAGGAAACAAAATGGGCGATAAGAGAGAGGGTTCGGGAGAAAAAATCATTCCTTCCTGATCTGCATTTGTGAGCCTGTGTCAGATCATTAAAGTAACAACTTGAACCCAGGGTCCTGCGGTTAAATTAATTTGTTTTATTGTAATATCAAAAAAGGAAAAGTCAATAAAACTTTTAAGTGTTTATAATAATTTTGGCAAGAGGACACCAGAGTTAATCCCTGCCCACCACTCACAATGTACCATTGTAGTAATTCTCAGATAAGAGTGTAGTCTAAAAGAACATGACAGACCATAAATAACAAGGACCCAAACGGACACAGTACAGGCTCAGTGTAAGGGCTGGTCCACACTGAAAAGTTACATCAGCATAGTTACGTCTCTCAGGAACGTGAAAAATCCTCACCCTTGAGAGATGTAGTTAAGCCAACGTACCCCTTGGTGTAGACAGCAAGAGGTCAGTGAAGAATTTCTCTGTCAACCTAGCTGCTGCCTGTGGGGGAGGTGGGATTACCTACAGCAACAGGAGAACCTCTCTCATCGCTGTACTAAGTGTCTTCACTGAAGTGCTACAGCAGCACAGCTGTATCACTGCAGTTGTACCACTGTAGCTTTTAAATGTAGACATAGCGTTCAGTGTCTATTTGGGCTCTTGCTTTTGCAATGGAGCTGTCAATTTATACCAGCAGAGGGACTGTCCCGTTGAGTCTTAGTGCAGGTTTATACTAAAAAGGTAAGTTCACCCAGCTCTGTCGCTCAGGGTTGTGAAAAATCCATACCCCTGAGCGAGGTAGTTAAGCCAATCTATCCCCCAGTGTAGACAGGGTTAGGTTGACAGAAGAATTGTTCTATCAGTCTAGCTATCTCCCTCTAAGGGAGGAGGATTAACTACAGCAGCGGGAGAACCCCTCCCATCGCTGTAGTGAGTGGCTACACTGAAGTGGTACAGCGGCACAGCTGCAGCAGCGGTTTAAGAATAGGCATAGCCATACTCTTACCCCAGGATTGTTGATATAGCAGATTGTGACTGCTCTTTTTATTTTAGAGTAGGGATTTACTCTAGTAGGTGTCATTGCTCCCGCTTATTCTTGTACATTCTTTTATGTGCTGGTTGCTTGCTGCTGTGACCGCTAATAGCTCTATTTAAGCTATGCTTCATTTGCAATAGGTATTTTGAAAAGCATTTAGGCTCTTCTCCTGGGTTGGCGTGCCTCTTTTTTTTTTGTAGTTAGTTCCCAGGAGATGCTGAGAACAAACTGAAATCAGGAGCCTCTGAGGACAAATTCAACTGTCATAGGTTATGTATGTTGCCTGATATCTGGCTTGCCCTGATGTCATTTTCCTACAGCTGTATAAAGTTCACTGTTTAAAAAGTATCAGATGTAGCCATTATGTAATTTAATGTGCAGTTATGGCTTTGAAATTATGATTCAGTGCTTAGTAGACAGGTTAACCTCTGCCAGTCTCTTGTTAAAGTGAAGTGTCTAGACTAAGCAAGTCTGATGAAATTGATACCATAAATGAATTGCTCTGCAGTCATTTGGGGCCAGCTGCTGTCAGTATGAAATACAATATTTTTATGTTGAACTTATCTTTTTTTTGTCTGAAAGGTTTTTATTTTTGTTTGAACTGTATTCTATCTGTATTGGTTTTTAATGTAGCTCCCCAAAATCCAGTAACTGGTGTGAATGTGGGACCAGATTTTGACTCCCGCAAACCTGCTCACTTCTGTTAGATTGTTTCTGTAGTTTGGATAATATATTTTGTCCATCTGTTACTGTTACTTTTCACCAAAATAATAGAGCATGGATCCTCTTGATAAAGAATGTTCTTGGGTTCAGAGCTTTTTGCACAAAAGTCGTATGAGTACAAGCCGTCCAGTTTTCCAGTTCAGACCTTTCTATATGTTTTATGTTACTTAAAAATGTGGCCTTCCTTCAGTTGCAACGTATGTTTGATGTAAAGGTGATTTGAGCAATGAGAGGCACTTTTTTGATAAACTATTGATTGTGAGTAATTATATTGTCACATATGGCTAACTTAATTGTATTGTTACAGTAGTTACCAAAGTACATGGCAAAATCAATGTAGTTTACACTGGAACGATGCTGTTACTTACTGTTCTCTGTTAGTATTAATCTATTACTACTGACCTGAGTGTACTCTGTGGCAGTGTTATGGGTTTCCCAGCATAACAGAATTACAAAATGGCCAACATAATAATGGTGAAAAGCAGTAATAATGTCAGTACCTCCTAAGCATTTTGGAAGCATCTATAGGAGGACTAACCATCAGAGACACGAAGGTGGTAGTGGGGTAAGGTAATAATAATAATGTATAAATATTAATGCAATGTAGAACCTGCTAAATAATTAGAATGATCTTCATATAAACAACTGATTTCCAATTCTGTATGAAGCAGAACATCCAGTGAGAGACAAGGTGAGTGAGGTAGTATCTTTTATTGGACATGTTGTGACATTAGACTTAATTTTGTGGCCCCTGCCACATAATTTATGTGGCACTGACTCCCTCTATGCCTTTCTCTCACCTCTCTAGTCAGGTTCAAACAGCAGCATCTCCTTTGTGTTTTGATTTATATTTTGCTAATGAACAGTTTAGTCTATGCTGTCCTAAATTTTCACTGTTCAGCAGGTTGCTGATTTTTATATTGATAGTGAATAGCAGAAGGTCTTGGGGGAAACTGGAGGCTTTGACAACCTGGTAGTGGAAATAAAGAAAGTGTGGAAGCTGTTTTTTGTTTTCTTTTCCCCATGAGAGAGACTGAGGCTTTTGGCATTGGAGAAGGGATGGGTCTCCTCTTTCCCTCCCCCTTTGGGACAGGACCAGATTTGACTTAAATTTGGGAATATGAGGGCTTGAATTTCCTGATCCCCATGCTGGTCACCTTTGAGAGCAACTAGCTGCCCCTCTGCATCCATCAATGACAAATAGGCATGTTTCTGCTAAAATGCTCAATAGTGAAATGGTTAATTACATTTAAATTGTCGTCATATTTCAGAAATAATACCCACTGAGATGAATAGGATAGTTCACATCTCAGAGAGCTATTGTTTCAGACTATCTGCAGACAGGTTAACATTTCCATTTACGTCATTATTGTATAATCAGATCTCATGCGGAAGGTTATCTTTTTAAAACATAATGGGTGAAATTCTGGCTTCACTGAGTGTTGTCAGTATCTACAATGGGGCTCAGATTTCATCCAATGTCTAGAGATGAGACATTTTTCACAAATGAGAAAGTAGACTCTGAAGCATAGTTGTGGCAATTTAAATATAATGGAATTATGTAAACATTTATGCAGCCTCACAAGCATTGTTTTGTGTGTGTGTATAGAGGGGGAAGAATATGTTGCACAATGGTCAGCTATAATAAAAAATGTTATAAGAACTTCTTTAAAACATTGAATTAGTTATTGTTTTATTGTATTTTATTGTATTAGTTGTATAGCAGTGGCACCCAGTCACAGACCAGGACCTCATTGTATTAGGCGCTTTACACACGCACAATAAAGAGATTGTAAGCTCTCTGGAGCAGAGACCATCTAAATGCTTAATCCACTTTAGTTCAAAAACGTATTCCTGGTCTGAGCCTCTCCTGGAAACTTCATCTGGGAAAGCAAACTAAGATGATAATAGAAAAAAATTAGTTCTGTATAAAAAATTCCAGTGTTCAAGCAGTTGATTACTTTAACAATTAGTCAAGTACAACATGACGTTAAGAATGAACTGCATTTACCAAAAAAGAGAAGAAAAAATGGGGAGAGAGGAAAAACACTTGTGTTAATTATTTGTACTGTAATAGTGCTAAGGTTCCTCAACCAGCATCCAGGTCATTCTGTTGAGTTTTTTGCAAACATATTGGAAGACCCAGTCCCTGACCCAAAGTCTGTACAGAGTGTATATCTTATCAGAACCAATTCTCTGGAAATTGTGTGTGTATTAGTTTTCTTTATACTTTTCTAATATGTCAAATAGGTCAGCAGCTGCCATTTGGTACGGGAATGCACAATGTTTACATTTTCAGATTGTAGTCTTTATAGAGAGAAGGTAGGGAAATGCACAGGAAAAGAAAGTTATGACATGGCTGGCTGTTTTCTCAACATTAACTAAAAAGTTCAAACTGCAGGTGGTGCTGTGCCTCCGTTCATATTTAAATATTATCGCATTTGTATTGTCCTACCATTACATGTGTCTGTAGAAAAATCAACCAATTCACATATTGTACCAGTACAGATTTAATAGAACAGACTATTGAGGCCATTAAATTAGCACCCCTCTGATTTTGCAGAGGTATAGGATGATCATTCCCTTGCTGAACATGTCTAACTCAGCTAGAATTTTGGAATTCTACATGCTATATATAGATATATATATAATACGCATGCTATAATTACATGATATGAATGTACATTTTATTTCTTTCCAGATTCGCGGTTTTTTATCAAGATTTGATAATGTCCTTCCTGTCAGCCTTGCATTTGACAAGTGCACAGCCTGCTCTCCCAAAGTAAGTCTGAGTTGCTTGTATTTTATTTCTGAATATGCAATGTTTTACAATCAGGTCATGTGGCATCTAAGGTTGGTTCACTCAAAGACGCTTCTTTTTCTTGTTTCTTTAGGATCTGGGATCTAACACAATACTTATTCCTATGTCCTGGCTACAGATTAAACCATTTTAGTCTGACTCCCCTCTCCCTACGCTATTTTCTGGTTTTCCTTGGGTTGCGTAGAGATGTCAAGTCTGTCACCTACTGTCTCTCTACATCAGAGTTGCATGCTGACATCTAAAAAAATAAATACATTATGGGCAAAGTTAGGAAGCCAGTATAATGGGGCTTTTCCCTTTATCTTCAGTGAAAAGGCACCAGGAACAACATGCTGCTGTACTGTTAATCCAGAGACACTATGACATAGTTTAAAGTGTACAGTTGAAGAATCTTTCTTTTTTAATTATTTGAGAAATGATTTCTGAAGTCTGCTTCTGCCTCTTTTTAACACACTTGCACTGGGTGCCTGTTGCAATTAGGGAAAGTGTGAATAGCTGATCTTTCTTGATAAAAACTTGTATGTAGGGATAAAGTAAAAATTACCTTTATAACTGTGTAGTATTAAAGAGGTGCTTAGTTTTCATGATAGTGCTGACATCCTGACTTGACTAATGGATTACAGTAGTTGCTGGGATTCTGAAGTGAATCTTACCAGAAAACTGGTACATACCACTCATGTGTCTGTGTGAGGCCTCTTCCTTGCTGGATTGTTTTCCTGTATTGTATCCTTGAAAACTGTCTTTGGCAACATTTCTGGACTGTGTAGTGTAAGTCCTAGTGGTCTTGACTGGGATATCTCAATATGAAGAGTCAGTGGTTTAAGTCAAAATTTGGCACACATGGAAATTCTGTTAATTCAGTCAAGTTTTGTGTACCCAGAGACTCGCTGCAGGAATTTCTTTCCATTCTCTACACTAAACTCATCCTTCATATTTAAAAATACAGATCTTGAGGGGCTGAGGATTCTTTTTTTTTTTTTTTGAAGATTTAAAGTTCTGTCTTGCAGAAACTTCTGTTGATACAGTATACCGCTCACTCCTGTAGTATAGCTTATATGTTAGTCCAGGCCCTCAAGGACTTTTATGTGCATATTCTCTTCAAAAACTCCAGTGCTAAATTTACAAACTCTTAGTTCTGTTGGGAGCACATCTCTACTCTCTTGAGTGGCTAAGCAATATAGTGGTCATTAAAAAAAGTCTTTTTCTCTTTATGTCCACTAGTATGTTTTTGCAGAAGTACTCTATGGGGGGTCATCCTATGTGTTTTTTTTTATAAAAGAAAGATAATCAGTCTATCCTGTTTGTTTTGAAAGTACGGAATCTGATATTTCATACTAAATTTGTCTGTCCACCTAAGTAGCCTTTTCACCTCCTGTTCATCTACCCTATGACTAGAGATACTGACCACATACAGCTTTGATGTACACGTACTTGTGTACACACAGACACACACACACACCGCCACCATTAAATTAAATGCGGGTATCCGTTTTTGTTAGCAAATGATTTCCTCTTGGTGGTCATTTTAAAAGAGCCCTGTTTTACATAAACAATCCTGATGATTTAATAAAAACTGACTTGGATTTTAGCAGCTGTGCTATTCCCATAGAGATCACTTTTCATGCGGTTTGAGTATTAAATTACTTTTGTGCTGAAAAGGTTGCTTCATTGGTACATGTATTTCCTTACAGTAGAAACACAGCATTTGTTTATTTGGCTAACTCCCTTTATTAGCATAGGAGTATGTCACCCCCTATTATCTGGATATCTGATACTAATACTTCGAAATGACAAATCCAATTATATTTTCATGGTTTTTTGTATGTGAATTTTTCTTAATGCATAAACTTAGCATAATTTCATCATGGCTCAGATCAGAGATGCCATTGATTTTATGTTCACTCTCCTGTGCTGTAAATGCTTTTGTAAAAGCTGTTTTTTGGCATTATTGCACCCATTTTAACATTATTAATTTTTATTCTTCTGTCCCCAGTCCCATTCTTGCATTATCATTTTACACCACCTTTGAATAAAAAGAAAAAAATTAAACAGCCACAGTGTTAAATTTTAACAGGTACAGCTGGTAGATGCTGAAGAGGCAGCTAAACTGCCTTAACATTTGGAGTTTAGATTTCATTTCACTTCACTTTGACCTAGAAGAGCCCCAGACATTCAAGCATCAAGTTATCCCTTATCTGTCCCAAATAGGCTGCATGCCAAGGAGGCTTTCATTTCTCTGAGGCAGTTGTTCAGGAATATTGGGATGATCACAGCAGGAAACCACTGGGTTTTTTTTGTTTTTCTGGGGGGAGGGCTGCTTTTTCTCTCCTATGATCTCCTCCAACCTTTATTAGTGCTGCACATGCTGGAATGGCAAGCTGACTACTGCAAAATTAGTGACCCTGCACTTTCAGTTTGATAGTGGGTACAAAAGAGCAGTGTAGGGGTACACTCTCTGTAGTATCTAAAAGTCTCACCACCACTGGCCTGCGGCAGAAAAGTCCCAAGTTCTTCAATACAGAATAAATCAGTTTATGATAACAAGTGTGTTTTTCGTGGGATAAAAGGTTACAGTTTATTAAATGTTGTGGAGATAAAGGTGTCTGTTTATTCCTCAGTTGAAATAGGGAGGAAAATCAGGCCACCTGCTCCTGGGGAGTGTTCAGATACTATGGTGAAGAGCACTATTACAAGTGCTTAAGTAGGTAGATGGAAGAAGCAAGCAGTAATGCTTGTGTGTATCTTTGGATGTGCTAGTAGTTCCATTGACTTCAATGGCATTATTGTGCCCAGTGTGGAGCACCTTATTAGCTGATTGCTCGAGGAGACTAATGAAGAAGCATTTATTCTATAAAGCTATTACATTTCCTTTTTAATTATAACATCAATGTTTACAGTACTGTTCGGTCTTCATTATTTTTTATATTTCATAGCAAATAAATAGGGCCCTACCAAATTCACGGTCCATTTTGGTCAATTTCACGATCATAGGATTTTTTTAAATTGTAAATTTCATTATTTCAGCTATTTAAATATGAAATGTCATGGTGTTGTAATTATAGGGGTTCTGACCCAAAAAAGGAGTTGTGGTGGGGTCACAAGGTTATTATAGGGGGGTTACAATACTGCTACCCTTACTTTTGCACTGCTGCTGGCAGCAGTGCTGTATTCAGAGCTGGGCAGCTGAAGAGTGGCAACTGCTGGCCGGGAGCCCAGCTCTGAAGGCAGAGATGCCGCCAGCAGCAGTGCAAATGTAAGGATGGCATGGTATTGCCACCCTTACTCCTGTGCTGCTGATGGTGGGGCACTGCCTTCAGAGCTGGGCACCTGGCCAACAGCCGCCACCCTCCGGCCACCCAGCTCCAAAGTCAGCCCAATACTGTGACCCCCCCCCCTAAAATAACCTTGTGACCCCCTTGCAACTCGCTTTTGGGTCAGGACCTGCAATTTGAGAAATGTTGGTCTCTCCCCGTGAAATCTGTATAGTATAGGGTAGAAGCACTCAAAAGACCAGATTTCACAGGAGAGACCAGATTTCATGGTCTGTGACGTGTTTTTCAAGGTTATGAATTTGGTAGGGCACTACAAATAAGCTATCTGAAACATAAACTTACTCTCAGCTGCCCTTCACCCATCAAGATCGCTGCTCATGCTTATTCCTAGTGTTTCAAGTCAATACATTTCACATTTTTTTATTTTCTAAAAATAGGACTTCATTGTATCCTTACTAACGGGGTTGCAAACAGAGAACAACCCTTTCAACTTTAGTCTATGGTAGCAGACACAATTAGGCTGAAAAGCTTTCTGGTAACACAAACAAGATAGTGCTGCAAATGTTACTAAAGGAATATGATTAAAGTGAGGAAAATGCAGTTAGGAGGCATTGATGAACCAGAGCCCTGATTCTGGACTTTGTTTCCTCTGGAACCTTGTTGACTTCCAAGAATTTGGTATGGCGGAGTATCATCCTCGTGTCTCAAGATATCTCTCAATCTTTCCTGATGATCTCTTAGAGAAGTGAAGATGATGATGACATATTTTATGTTTTAAAATGGTTGAATAAACATTATTTAACAAACATAACATTCCTGTGAGGTAGGTAAGTAGTATTTATCTGAAGGAAATTAAACATAGTCTGAAGCATAGTCTACACTGATGTTGCTACACTGGCAAACCCTCCTAGTGTATACACAGCTTATACTGACAAAAAGGTGCTTTTGGCAGAGGGTTTAATGCTGGTTTGGCAAGAGAGTGTGTGAGATACATACAAAGAGTCCCAGATGACATATACCAAGAAAATATGAAGACAGGAATGTGAGTGTGACACCTCCTGGAGATACCCAAAGTTGAGGCATCTCGCTAACACCTGCTTTTAGCATGAGGAAACCTTGGGTGTGCCTGCTGGGGGGTCAGTTCCCCGACTCTACCAACCTCTGGCAACACAAGCACTGCATTCCAGGCCTCTGCAGGCCCAGCTGTCTCTGTACGTGTTAACAATAAGCACACTCGAATGCCTGAGCATTCAAAGTGTCCCCCTGCAGTTACCAACCCCATTCCACTGGATACTCACAGAATTCACAGACCCGCTACTCCCAAAGGAATAGTACACACCTGCTTACCAGTTATACCTCAGGATCACCACACTGCTCAACGCACAGTATTTAAATATTTTTTAGTAAAAACAAGTAGTAGTTTATTTAACAAAAAATTGAAGAAGCATGTAGAATTAATGGACACAACTGTTTACGTATAAAATAAAATCATAACGTGCTTTTTAGAGCCTAAACTTAACAAACAAGACATTTTTTCTCAAAAAGGTTAGCTCACCCAAAGTTTCTCTCCCAGTGTTAAACAGCCGGACCAGCTGTGGTCCTCCGCTGGCAGCTTGTCCCCTGGGTGAAGGATAAGTGGGTGTACCTCTGCACCTCTAGATGTATTTCCAACAATCTGTTGTCTTTGCT